TGGTTCTGGTTGATGCAAACGGGATTTCCATGGGAAGGGACAGATGGGATGACCGACGACTTCGATTAGCCGAAATGCCAACATCAAAACATCACTGCCAAATCTTTTGCAGTAACAATAATGAAGAAGGAGGAGGATCACCCATTTCAAATTCTGTTGATACTTTCTTTATTGTTGATATAGGTTCACAAAATGGAACTTTTGTCAATTCTCAAAGATTGTCGGAAAGTAAGATGAGTTCCAAGCCATATCAGTTAAATCATATGGATGAAGTTGTCGTTGGAAGTACCAAATTTCAAGTGCACTTGCACAAACAATGGACATGCGATATTTGCACCGTAACTGAGGGAAAAATGATTGACATATCTCAAAAGAACGATGGAATTTCTAATAACATGAATAAATCTAAACAGAAAATTAGTGAAGGTGATATGATTACAAACATTGGTAGTAATATTAATAATAATACAACACAAAAAGAACTTTTAGAATTTCAGCGACGTGAGGAGCTGAATCGTTTGAAACGTAAATATATGGGTCCATCTAATATCAATCAAAAGCATAAGAAATATGTTGATAGGGCTGCTTTAAGAAGAGAAATTCATCCTGATAATGGACCAGTAAAGAAAGATTGGGAGGATATATCTCAAGTATCAGCGGAAGAAACAAAGAATCTACAAACAAAAATCGGTTCAGATAATAAAGGAAATAAGCTTCTACAGAAGATGGGGTGGAAGGAAGGACAAGGTTTAGGACGTCATGGTACTGGAATTTTGGATCCAGTCCAATTAATTACTAATGAGGGAAGAGTTGGTCTTGGTGCGGGAGGGAAAAAGAGTCAAAATAGCACCACTGAAACATTACAGGAAGCAACAAGACGGTAAGAATTAATGCATAATTTTTAATTATTTTCTTAAATGATGCATATTAATTATTGATTTTTTACTAAATAAATAGTGTTGCCAAAGAAAGATTTATTGATTTATTTCAATGAATAACAACTTCGGAAAACACACTTTGCAGGGTGAATATCATCAACTTGTGGATTATAAAATAGATATTACTATACATTCTTTTTATTATATCTAATTCACCAATGTAATAAAAGCATACTTTCATTACATCATTAGCAGCATAAATAGTACATTGTATCTTATATATACATATATAATATTTATTTATTTCATATCATCATAATGATGATTTGCAGATTTCTTGAAATCATTAATTATAAATCATCATTATAATATAAATGCATTCTTTTACTAAATAGATATAATGCTCTGTAAATATTTGAAATTTGAATTTCCCCCTTTTAAAATGTAAATATATATATATTAAAAAAAAAGTTATATGTAGAAAGTCAAATTTTGGAACTTTTTTTTTTTTTTTCAAAAAAGGTTATTTTAAAAAAAAGGTACAATAAATAATCTGCTAAAAATGACATCTGAAAATAATGTTCCAAGCAGAAAACTTTTTTTTTTTTTTTTTTTTTTTTTGACATTATAAGATATATATATATATATATATGCGTATATATATATACAAAATAAAAAGAATATATTGACAAAATGTTATAAACAAATAAGTTGTTAGATAGACTACCTTTCTCTATAGTTTAAATTACCTGAAAATCCTCAATCAAGAAAAGAAACTGCCAATAAATCAAATACTTTAATAATCAAGTCTTTTCTTGCACATTGGACATTCATCTCTTAGTTTAATTGCGGCTAAAGTTGTTATCAGGACAAAGGTAAGTTTTAATTAAAGATGAAATGAAACGAGTTGACAATATATAAAGGAAATTCACCTGCAACGCATGATCGATGAAAATAATGACCGTGACAAGGAGGAAGTTTAACTACTTGTTGTTCAATAGAAACCGAACTGGGATCTTGAAAAATATCCAGACAAATGATACAACTATCTTCAGATGTCACTTCATGGAATGCAACAGGTTGCAAAATTGAGTTGTCATCTTTTCATTACAAAATGTTGAATTAATATTAGATTTGTTTAAAATAAATTTCATTAAATTCAAAGTGAGAATTTTAGTTTAAAATTTGCACCATTCGCGACCCTTCTAATTCGACGAATTCCACCACCTGAGAGATTGTGCTGTTGAAAACGTCCCAATGCATAATTAAATCGCACTTCATATCGATCTGGTATTGAAGCAAAGTACCCTTGCTTTGGAAAAATAGATGTCTTCTTATGTTGATACGCATCTTCGAGTTCAGACGATGATGCCAAGTCATAGGGAATCCATTGATCTGGATTTGCTCTCCATTCCCACTAAAAAGATAAAAAAATCGACAGCTCAATTATTAAGAATACTGAACATAAGGACGCTTTTCAATAGAATAATAATTGACCATGTTTCAACAATTGTATTCTTTAAGATAAATTTACATAACC